GAGCGTTCTGATCTTCCTAACAATTTCAGTGAGCTGCCCAGGAGCTCCACAAGAGATGAAGGAAGGATGAAGATTCCTGCTGAACCGCTCTTCCATGGCAAGGAGTCCTAGCTGAGCACTTGACAGCTAAGTGAAAGGTGAGTGATTTGAACCCACCAGCCTTTCCACGGGAGGAAGGCAGTCTGCTTCCGTAAAGGACAGCCTGGGAAACCCTAGGATGGGACCATTCTGCTCCGTCCTATAGAGTTGCTATGAGTCACAATCCACGCAACAGGTCTGGTTTTGGTTTTAATTGTCCTAGAAAACGATATGTCATGTATTAGTGCCAGGAGCGTTCTGATCTTCCTAACAATTTCAGTGAGCTGTGACTACCGTCTAAAGAAACCGGTGAACAACATTTTATGTCCTTTAAACCTCTTTCCTTTAATAGTTGATATGGTTGGCAAGCATTCGACTCCTCAAAAGTTGCTCACCATCCTTAAAAGATAATGTATGGCCCTGTTTTCCTTCAGTTAAGAAAAGATTAAGTGCTCCTCATGGACAAGGATGATAGACCTGTGAAATCAATACCAAAATTCAGCATGGCAAATGTTGTTGTTGAGATTGGGGCAAAGAGGTGTGGGAGCCCAGAGGAAGAAGTAAGTTTATTCTGGGAAGATGGAGATCTGCAAACCTAGACTGGCTGGTTTGAAGGAGGGACAGGGGAATTTGGGGCAATTGAAAAAAACAAAAAAACCCATCCTGAGCAAAGGTGGTCGGTGGGAAAGTACTGGGTGTGTCTAGGGAATGCATGGAAGGGACCCTGTTCTGTAGCAGGGGCACGGGGTGAGGTGGGAGTGGTCCCGGTTGATTCTAGAAGGGTGGGAGTGGCCAGGCTGGCAAAGCATTTGGAGTGGGACCTGCCATTGGGGGCTTCTCCTTTGTCCTCAGGTGGGAGTGCCTTTGAGTAGCCAAGATATGGAGGACATAGTGATCTACCTCAGCTCCCTGGGAAAGTTAAACACCATCACAATGGATATCCTGACCAGCAGCCACAAGCAATGGTCCATAGATCAGCAGAGGAGAAGCCACCCAGACATAAGGAAGCGTACGTACCCACCCGCCTTGGGAGTGAGAGGGCCTCTTCCCCCAGCACGCCCACGCGGAGGGTGCTCTTTGGCTTTGGCACACTGTAGGGATGGTTGAGTCTCTGGAACTTGCAGGCCCAGAGGTCACCTAAGGAGCCTCCAAGGGGCCCTTAAAGGAGGACTTTTCAGAGGGTGGTTTTCCAGATAGGTGGGAAGGGACCCAAATTCAATAAACCTTTGCCAAGGTTTACATTCATATGTAGGTCCAATGCCTTCTTACTGATAATCTAAGTATGATTGGTCAAAAGTTAATAAAAAGACCTTGTTCAGAAACCAGCATGAGCCCATAGTCAGAGTGAACTGAGGAGTTGCTGGGTTGTACAAATGGTTAACTCACTGTGCTGCGAATGAGAGGTTGCAGGTTCCAGCCCACCCAGGGGTCCCTTGGCAGACAGGCATGGCAATGTTCCTCTGACTAATCAGCCACCAAAAACTCTGTGGGCCACAGTTTTACTCGGATGCACATGGAGGTGCCAAGGAGTTGGAGTCAACGCCAGCCAGAGCCCCTGGCTCCTGGGGCTCTGCCTGCAGGCGTGGTCTCATGTGTCTGGGTGCAGCAGGGCTATGTAGAGGTGCCCATGGGCCTGTGGCATTATCTGTTTGCCCTCCCCCACCCCCAGATGACTCGAAGAGTGAGCTCGTTATTTATTGGCTGCATCAGCTTCACCAAGAGCCCTGGAGGGGCAGTGGTTAGAGCTCAGCTGCTCATCCCCTGGGGCCCACTAGCTGCCCTGCAGGAGAACACTGTGGCAGTTGGCTCAGTAAAGATTGACAGCCTCGGAGACCCTGGGGGGCAGTTCCACTCTCTCCTATAGGGTCACAAAGCGTTGGAACTGACTCAGCAGCAGCAGGCTTAGTGCCTCCGTTTACCCTTACAAGTCCCTGGGTGCCAGGGTTAGGCTTCACATAGCACCAGGGAGGATGCTGAAGCCCAGAGAGGCTGAAAGAGTTGCCCGTAATCTCAAAGCCAGAAGGTGGCAGGGCCAGGATTGGATCCCCACAGGTCAGAGACAGGGAGGGTCTCTCAAAAGTGGGCAGTGGCATTGACACTGGAGTGGGGGCAGGCAGTCCTGGGATAGCCTGGGAGAAGGGCATCCTTGGCACATGGAGGGCAATGGCAGAGGTCCCAAGGCAGGGAGGTCTCTGAGGATAAAGGGAGTTGGGATGACTGGGGAAGGCTCAGAGAGCGAGGTCAGGAGAGAGGGTCAGATGGGAAGAACTGACTGTGGGGTTGGTCTGAGGGCCAGGGAGCATTAGAGAGGTTGAAACAGGGCACTGAGGTGCTCTGCTCTGTATTGCCCTCTGGTGGCAACAGGATCGGAGGGGATGCACATGACAGCAGGTGAGCCCAGGTGGCCTGGGTTAGGGAGGCTGTGGTGGGTATGGGGAGAAGGGGCACGCAGACTGGCTCGCAAGAAGGTTAACTAGCTCTGGAGAGGGAAATCCCAGCCCTGCTTGACCAATGATGCTCAAAGGCTTGGCTAAGGCAGGTTGCACCGCACCTCCACCCCCCTCCTACTTTCCTTCTCTCCCCTTCTGTCTATACCAGGTCTCCGAGGGTCATCCAGCAGGAGCATCTCCCAGCAGAGTCTGCCCATGAGGCAGAAGGGAAGCTCCAGCCTGCAGTCCGACAAGATGGACCTGCTGACCGTGCCTGAGCCCAATTTGGAGAAAGAAGCTCGGCCCTTGAGCCTCGAGGAAATGGAGGACGTGGGCAAGCGGTACCGAGAGAGGAAGCGGCTGCACAAGGTAGGGTAGGCCCCTGGTCTCTAGCAAATATGAATATGCTGATCAACAGAAATGATATCATGAAGTGTCAGGCTGCATGGCAAGAAAACCCAAAATGTTACAGCAGGGGGCAGCAAACCTTTTCTGTAAAAGGCCAGACCAGAAGCATTTGAGGCTCTGGGCATGATGATTAATGGTGCCCTTGTAGACAGAGACCAATGAATGTGGCCATGTTCCCATTAAAATTTATTTACCAAAACAGGTGGTAGGCTAGATTTGGCTATGGGCCCTACTTTGCTGGCTTTGGTGTTAGATGCTTCAATAAGATACCAGAGATGTTTTTCCTTTTAAAAAGATAAAAAGAAGAAAGCAAAAGTAGCTATCATCCCCAGGGACCCTGCCACCCCCACCCCCACATGCTCTGCAAGGTCAAGGGCACTGCTACTTCAGAGCTCTTGGGCCATACATGACCTTCTCCTGGGCCCCACCTGGTACTCCTGGCCATCGCTCTCCTGGGTCTTGTGGGCAAAGAAGATGTGGCTTACCGTGGCCTTCCAGCCAGGTGGAAAGAGGAAAGGTGAGGTGGGTGCCTCCCCCATGTCTCCTGGCAGATCTCCGTGGGCTCCATCCAGTACTCAGAGTGCTGCCGCCTGGTGCGGAGCGGGAACAAGCACTATGATGAGAACTGCCTCCCGTCCACGGTCCAGGGCAACACCGGGGACATGATCAACAGGTTCCGCAGGGACAACTTTCTGTCCTACCTGCAGTGCTGTAAACTCTGTGAGTCCTACGGCATCCCACTGACCGAGGACATCCTCACGAAAGGTGAGAGCCTTGGGGCTGGGACCTGGAGGAGGGAGAAACATGGGTTCACGGGATCGTTAGAAGTCAAGGCTGGGAGGTCTGGGTTCCCCAGCTGAAGTCTTAGGGGGTCTGGATACTGGAGCCCTGAGCCTGGGTGAGCTGAGATATGTTGAGCAGGAAGGTAAGGGGACAGTGAATCTTGGGAGGGAGCCCTGAAGTTGAATGTAAAGGAGTCACCCCAATTTCCAAGAGGAAGGCTCGGCAGAAGGGATAACTTGCTGTGTTTTTAAAATGTATTTAATAAAGAACGTCTTCCTTAGCATTAGGCACCTAAAAGCACATTTTGTATAGGAGCAACCTGACATGAGTCCTGGACAGGGACAAGGAGTTGATGCTAATCTAGGGGAGCAGTTCAGATAAGGCAGCTGAGCACGGCTGCTTTCTTGGAGAACACAATCCAGGTCACTGAATTGTACACATGGAAAACTGTTGGGCTGGTGAACGATCCTCCGGGTTCTAGTCCCAAAAGCAACAATAGAAATCAAGTGAAACAGGAAAAGCCCTCTGGCCCACAGTTCTACTCTGTGACACGCATGGGATAGCTGTGGGTCAGAGTTGAGTCGAAGGCGACGGGTTGACCGCAGAGGCTTCGGGAGGGGAAAGGAGGGGCATGGGGCTAATGGCTGCTGTGTTCTCTCACTGCCGACAGCCTTGCTCTACCCGGGAGACAAGATCATTTTCCTGAATGACCAAGTGCGCCCAATCCGGCAGCCAGGAGGCTACTACTCTGACTTCAAGTTCTTCACTCGGAGCCAGACTCTGCTCAAGTCCCAGAGGGCTCATATGGCCAAAATGGACAAGCTGAGTCTCAGAGCCCTATCCCCCCCATCACCTGCCTCCCACCCCCACACAGGGCTTAGCTACCGACTCACTCAGGGGCTCATGCTATATACAAGGGCAGGGTCCTCACCTGGTACACCAGCCTCCTCCTCATGCCCCCTCCTGGGTCAACCTACCCTTGGTAGCTTTCTTGTAGTCCTAGCCTCCACGACTCGGTGCCTGGCCACTAGCCTCCTGGCTACTAGCTAGACAACCTCTGGGTCTTAGGGCAAGGATGAAAAGGGAAAATAGAGGGTGCCCTGTCTCCAATCGTGGCCCCTGTGTTAGGTGCCCTGCTGAGGGAAGGGGTGGGAGACGGCCCAGCCCTGGCCTGTCCTGTGGTCCTGTTGCCTGAACACACCTTCTCTGGTAAGAGAAAGGTTTGCGGCCCCTAGGAAGACAAAAGAGCTCTGTCAGAGGAAACCAGCCTCCAACAACCAAAGGACCAGAAGGTGCAAATGTACGGTGATACTATATAAAAATGATAGTAAAGTCATAGAGGATAGGAAAGACAGGAGAGAGCAGAATAAAGGAGTCAGGCACATGTTATGGTAGCATGCTCACCTCAGCCCCTCTTGATGGTCCACGTGGAACCGGGAGAAGAGACAGAGAGCCTTTACTATCTTGGAAAATTTATTGGTAGCCTTAAGACATGCACATTCACTAGTTACCTGCGTCACAAGGTGGGTGGAACTACAGTAAGGTCTCTGAGCTCACAGGTGAGGAAACCTAATACCTGCATTGGGGGAAGGTGCCAAGGGGGTTGGGTGTCATGGTGGGAAGTGAAAGCAAAAGGATAATGTCTGCTTCTATAGGGAGATGGAATCCATGTGCTCACTTTAAGGCAGCAGAGCTGTTAAGGGACGAATCTGTGGGAATGATATTTAAAGCAGGATAATGTACTTGGGCTTTACCTCTAACTTACCAAAGGGGAGCCTTACCCTACCATGGAATACCAGCTTTCCAGATTCCCTCTGTAATAAGTTAGGGAATATTGTCCTTGTCCCGTGTTAGTTTCCCACAGTCTTCGGCTCTCAGCTCAACCTGGGTCCACTCTGTCGGCGCTCCAAAGGCAGGAGCTCTAGTTAGGAGCCAGCGTTGGGTCCAGCGAGGGTGAGGGAGCAGGTGACTGACCAAATGCCTGGGGCTGGGGCTGGCCCTGGCACCAGCTGCCCATGGGGGTGGTGTGCCCAGGTGGCACAACCAAGTAGAAGATCAAGCAGGCATTCAATGAACACATTACTTTATTCTCTGCGCCTCAGCATTTTCATCTGTAAATGAGGATTAGGTGAGAAAATAGATGTCAACTCCTTGGCACAGAAGCTGGCAGCTGGCACTTAGCCATGGCTATGGCCGCTGCTCTTGTTATTACGGTACCCTGTGCTGGTCACAATGTGCTCAGGCACAGGAGTGGGGCCAGGCCTCCAGGCAGGGCCTGTCCACAACTCTGGCTGCAAAGAGCTGACAGCAACCCAGGCTGGGTGGCCTACAGGGCTCTTTCTGATCACTTTGTGACCACTGCCTTGTCCTAGGGTAGCTGGCGCCCTGGGCCCAGGGAGCAGGTGGGAACCTGGGAGAAGTTCCCTGAACCTCTGGGTTGCCACCAAGCTGATTCCAGCTCAGTGACCCTTTTTGGATGCAGAGGCATCGTGGTAGGGGAGTACCGAAAGCGCTCAGCTGCTAACCACACGGTTTGAAAACACCCGCCTCTCCCACTGCAGTCTGTTTCCATCAGGATTATGGTCTGGGAAGCCATATGGGCAGTTCTGTTTTGTCCTCCCAGGGCTGCTGTGTGCTCCAGCCTCAGGTCACAGCTACAAAAGAAAAAGCCACGGGCTAAGGCTGGGCTAGGCATCGTCATCATCGTCATCATCGTGCCTCCTTAGATTGGGTTGGTGCTGGTCCTGAGGCCAGTCCCAGGCTCGGCGTTAGAGTGCTGTGATGGGCTCAAGGCTGAAGGTTTCAATGGCAAATTTCACCAGTCTGGTCTTCTGGCAGTGGATGTGGGGATCGGAGGCCCCAGAAGATCCTGATGTAGCAGTGATTATTTATCAAGCATCTCCCCTGGCTGCCCCGGAGTGTCCTAGTTCTGGGGGATGAGGAAATTTAGGCTCGGAAGACTGCTGAGACTTGACCAAGGTCACCAGGCAAGCTGGGTGATGATGCATGGGTCCGGACCACCCTTGACAGCTGTGCATGCCACTGACCCATGGTAGAGCTATGCCAACCCTGCCCTGCTCCCCAGCAGCCTGGCTCTCCGCTCCCCTAACAAAATGGCTCTCTCTCTTCTCTTCTAGGAAAGTACCAAAGAAAACCAAGAAACTACGCTTTAAGGAGTTTGAGGAGTTCACCAGGTCTGTAGTAACCACCCGGGAGAAAGCCAGGGCTTCCCACTCCCAGAAAGATTTAAAGTCTAACTCAGGAAGGTGGGAGGGCCGTCTGGAGAGCTGAGCTAGCCTTGCGGGAGGGGCCTAAGATGGGCAAGTCCCCCTGCGGGAAGCTGCTACCAGGATCCCAGGGCACAAAATTCACAGGCACCCCATGAAGACTCTGCCTAGTCAGAGGTCTCTGCTCAGGAGTCAAGAAAACTGGACTTGATGCTAAGTTCTGCCATTGCCTTGCTGTAACCTGGGGCAAGGCTTCTCTCTCCAGGCCTCAGTTTTCTTTGCTGTCAAATGGGTACATGTATACATCCTTTACAAGGCTGCTACGAGTGGTAAGTGGCAGCGTAGGAGTCTCAAACTCTATCCCTTCTGGCAACAGAGAACACGGCATGAGCTGCTCCCAACGGGCAGAGCAGCTCTAAGCATCCACAAGGACAAAGCCCTCAGCAAGTCTCCCATCCGGTTTAAAACCCAAGTACACTTTGCCTTCTTCTCTGCGATAAATCTGTGCTCACTTGCATAGAAAAAGTAGGGTTTCTCTCCCCTTGACATCTTCGTGCAAAATCCAGAAAAGTGGGTTATCACTGGTATGTGTACCCTGTTTTGGAGGCTCCTATCTGGGGCTCCATCCCAGGAGCAGAGACAGTAAACTAACACACAGGGCCGGGTGGGGACTGTGCTGGCACTACGCAGGTGCTCCCTCCGCCCTAAGTTACTCTAGCATACTCATTTCCGAGGTCCAGGAAGGTGAAACATCCCGCTCAGTGCCCCACCTCTGTTAAGTGGCAGACTAGGGATTGGAACCCACATGTATTCTCAACACCACATTGAGGAGCCTCTAGAAAAGAGATAGTGAAAAAAAAAAAAAAGAAAGAAAAGAGATAGTGTACATTTGCGAGATCGGGCTTTAATACTGATGGCATCATGCCGAGTGAAATAACCCAGACGCAAAAGGGCAGATATTGTATGGTTCCACTTACATGAGGTGTCCAGAGTAGGCAAATTCACAAAGACCAGGAGCTGGGCAGGGGGGAGAGGAGGTTGTGGGGAGTAGTTGTCTAATGAGCACAGTTCTTGTTTGGGATTTGAAAAAAGATCTGAAGGTGAAGGTTATACAACATTGGGAATACTCTTACTATTACTGAATTATACCTTCAAGAATGGTTAAAATGGTAAGTTTTATGTTTACCCTGAGACAGCCAGCTGGAATCCAGATCTGTGCTTCCCCTCTTACTCACCCTGGGGAAGTGACTTCGCCTCTTCAGGCCGGAGTTCCTCCCTGGAACCATTCTAAGTAGACCTGATAACAGAGCCCGCCTTACATAACTGTTACACGCGGGCTGAGATACCAAAGTGCTTAGCGCAGGGCTAAATTTCCACTGGAGTCACCATCAGTTTGCTTTCCTGAGAAAGTGCTCTGGGCCTGGCCCGTCAGCCATGATGTCCTTCCCTGCATCTTCCTTTTGCAGGAAGCTGAAGGCAAAGAGGACTGGTGTCCAGCAGCTCACCCACCCTAACAACTTCTGGCCAGGCCATCTCCTGGACAAGCTGAGGCTGTACCTGCCCACTGTGGCCCCCGACCGGAGCTTGGCACTCTTCAGCCACGTGCACCAACAGCCCTCTGCCTACCCGGCCATCTACCATCCCAACCACTGGTGGCCCATTAGAAATATGAACTATATGACCCCAGCCTATTATGATGCCCACAAGGTCTACTACATTGACTGAGGTGGCCTAGGGCTTGCTGCAACCCAACCACCCTGTGGCCAGGGGCCAGTGCAACTGGTGACCCCCAAGCCAGGGATACAAGGGAGTGTCAAAGAGATAGACAAAAAAACCCAATTGTTTCTGTGTGGTGGCCCTAGGGCAGGGCCTTCCAGACCCAAATTACCCATGGTCTCAGAGGGGAGATGTGTCCAGGGGAAGACACACAGGTTTTCGGTGTTTCCCTCCCCTCTCCTCTGCAATTTGGAAATAAACCAAATTAAAGTTTCTTGCATGCTACCTATGACTCAGTTGAGTGATTTCTTGCTGAGGAGCTGTGGCTAGAAGGATGTTTGGAAAAGTGGGTCTCAAGCCTGGGGGAAATAGCAGACACATTTTGGGGATGCTGGCAGGGACATTTTGCCTGGCACCTCCAGCCTCTCATTCGAGGATCTCAGTGACTACAGGGAAGCAGCAGGCAGTGTGGGTACCTGTGTGATGTGCAGATGACACAACTTTGCTTGCTACTGAAAGTGAGGACTTGAAACGCTTGCTGATGAAGATCAAGGATTGTAGCCTTCAGTATGTATTACAACTCAGTAGCATCATGTGTGTTAGACAGGGTTCTCTAGAGAAACAAAACCAGGACACTTATGATTTTATATATATATATGGATAAATATATACAGCATGAAGGAGTATAACAGCAAATTAGTCCACACAGCGGTACAGAGGACTCAGTTCAACTCACTTCCGTGAAACAGTTAATACACTGGCAGTCCTTCAACTCATGAGGGTTGCTCGGTCCAAGGTCAAGGAAGCAGACAGCTGAGTCTTCCGCAGAGCAATACAGGCAGTCCGGCCAGAGGCTGCAACAGTCAGTCAGATGACAGGATCCAACAGTCCCAAACTCAAGAAATGCATACACCAGCAGTGTGGCAGAGCAGGTCTCAAAGGAAACTCAAGCTTAAGCGACACAATGCACAGGTAGGTGTCCCGTCCCACAGGTAGTATAGCTCCCAAGTTGAGGCAGAGAACTAGCTAAGGCAGCCACACACTGGTCTGATTACCAGAGAGCAAGAGAGAGGCGGGGCTTCCCGAGCCATTTGTGTCTTTGCCTTCCAATCAAACTGCAACCTTATTAATCACACATGTTCTTATTGGCCAGGTTGGCACAATAAACCAACCTATCTCATCATGACAAATGGAGAAAATATTAAAAGTTGTTGTGCTATCTGGGTTGATTAGAGAGAAACATTCAGAGACACTCATATGTGTGTAAGAGAGAAATTTATATCAAAGAGCAATTGTATATTGAGAAAACATCCCAGCCTAGTCCAGATCAAGTCCATAAGTCTGATATTAGCCCATATGTCTGATACTAGTCCATAAATTCCTCTTTAGACTCACACAGCACATACAATGATGCTGAATGCAGGAAGATCGCAGGCCGGTGGGTAGAAAATCTTGTGGATCCATGATGGTGGAAGCATCTCCAGGGCTCTGGCTGCCATCACGGTGGCTCCATGTAGCTTGTCAATAGGAATGTGAAGCAAAGAGAGAGAGAGGCCCACCTTTTCTGATGGCAGAATCAAGAGAGAGGCAAGGTCCCAAAATCCTCATGAGAAGGCCATGCCCACAAGGAGGGATCATCAAGCTGTGACCTGATTGACAGACTAGACCCCACCCCTTCATTCTTTTATCAGGTTGATGTGAAAGTGTGTAACTACCACAGTTGTTAAGGATTTTTGTTCTGCTTGGATCCACAACATTCATGAAAGCAGCAGTTAAGAGATCAAAGGACACATTGCACGGGGTAAATCTGTTGTACAAGACATCTTTTAAAACAACAAAACCAAAAAAATAAAATAAATTTAAAACAAAACAAAACAAAACAAAACAAAAAACAACAAAACCAAACTCCCTGCCATGGAGCCCATTCTGACTCCTACTGACCCTACAGGACAGATAGAACTGCCCCCGGGGTTTCTGAGACAACAATTCTTCACTGCAGTAGAAAGCGCAGTCTTATGATCTGCTGACCCTGCCATTAGTAGCCCAATGCATAACCAGTACACCAACAAGACCGTTTTAGAGTATTGAAAAGCAGGGAGCTTACTTTGAGGACTGAGGTGTGCCTGACCCAAGCCATGGTACTTTCATTCACTTCAGATGCATGTGAAAGTTGGACGTTGGATAAAGAAGATCAGAGAAGGCTCAATGCATCTGATTTGTGTTGCTGGAGCAGAATAATGAAAGTACCATGGACTGCCAAAAGGACAAACACATCTGTCTTGGAACAAGTATGGTCAGGGTGCTACTTAGAGGCAAGGACTTGCTCTTACCTACTGTGGACATGTTGTCAGGATAGATCAGTCCTGGGCAAAGGGCATCATGCTTGTAAAGTAGAGAGGCAGGGAAAAAGAAGAAGGTCCTCAATGAGATGGATTGGCACAGTGGCTGCAACGGGGCTGGAGTATAGGAAAAACCATGGTGAGGATGGCTCAGGATAGGCAGGGTTTTGTTCTGTTGTGTGATGGGGTTGCTATGGGTCAGGACTGACTCTATGGCACCTAACAACAATGTAATGCTCCATGCACAAGTTTCAGCAGAGCTTCCAGACTGAACTGGACTAGCAGTGGATTTCAAGGACCATCTCTGGGTCTCCTTAAACCCCTACCCTTAAAAAGTTGTCAAGACTCACGCTTTGTTTTCTTTTCACCTCCAAGCCAATCATCTGCACCAGGGGTGTCAAGCTGGCAGCCCTTCGGCCGCATGCGACCCCCAAGGTAATTTTTTGTGGCCCGCGATACTCTGAAATAAAATGAAAATAGAAAAAGTTGTTATGGAGAAAAAGTGCTTAGGGGAGATGGAGGCAATACCGTACACACAATTCCCTAGTTAACCCTTTAACTACTGAAGACAAGTATACACATGGCCCAGTGCCTTTCCTGGGGGCCTGTGGAGGTGTATAAACGCGCTGACTCAGTTCCGGCAACATTTGGAAGCAATATGTCTGACACTCTCAGTGTCACGTAATGTAAACAGATCCCAATAGCGAAAAGGTTAAAAAGAGCACGCTAGGTTGTGCTGTTATGAATCATA